GTTTCACCCCCCCCCCCCCCAGACCACCTCCAATATTTTTTGCCCGGCGAAGTTTTTGCCTCAACCGACCGACCCGCCCGCGGTGCCGCGCCTCGCCCCTCGAGAGCAATCTCCTTCTCCACGTCCGCCCCCGGGGCGACGGCGCACCTCTTCCCTGCACCTCTTCCCCGCCGGTACGAGGTTCAAGAGAATAGAAGGGAATGCGCGGCTCCGCAGGTACGAGGTTCGTGCCGTCGGTCCGGGGGCGGACGTGGAGAAGGAGATTGCTCTCGAGGTGCGAGGCGCTGCACCGCGGGCGGTACGCCCGTACGAGCCACACACTCGCCCGCCACACACCCTCGCAGGTGCCCCGCTGGTGCGCGGACGAAACGACGAGTAGCGACGCCATGGGCAGACAGGCCGCGGCGTGACAGCGGTACTAGATGGAGGGGGAGAAGGGAGAAGCCGGGACGCGGTGGCCATGACACACTGGCCGGGCGCGACAAAGGTCAGCTAAACGAGCGGCACGCACGCCGCCGCGCGCCGCCACTCCACACACGTGTGTGCGCGCGGGTCGTCACGGTCCTCGGTCGCGCGCGTCGAGCGGGGACAGCGGACACCCCCGGCTCGTCCCCCCCTGATAACTGTGTCGTGCAGCATAGAGGCAGCATAGGGTGTTGTGTTTGTTGTCGTATGCGACGTACCAACGCACACACGCATTCTCCCGACGCTGCGCGAAGACCGAAGTGGCGTGCGGAGAGAGCCGGCGGAGCGTGGTCTGGAGAGTGTGCACAGTGTCTCTCGACTCTCGTCTCTCGACCCCCACCTGCCACCCTCCGCCGCCACCGAACGCGAAACGGCGTCACACTGAACGGTCTCCAGTGAGAGCACTGAGTGGGTGGTGTACGTCCTCGTACGGCGTGCGCTCGAGCAGCTTCGTCAGCCCCATAGCCGCTTCTGCCCGTGCCGCTGGCCCGGGAGTGGCTGCACAAGCGGGTGGCCTGGCGAGTCGCCTACTCTCACCCCAAACCTCACTCAACGGCCCTAAAGTGGTCAAGGAGAGAGCGGCGAGCGGCGCGCCAGTCTGCCCAAGGCGCATGCCCGAGCACATCGGCTGCTGGACCGCCACGGCCTCCTTGTGCTTCCGGAGCTGCTGCTGCTGCTGCTGCTGCTGCTGCTGCTGCTGCTGCTGCTGCTGCTGCTGCTGCTGCTGCTGCTGCTGCTGCTGGCGGTGCCGCTCGTCCAACTGGCGCCCGAGCGGCGGCTGGTGCGCCCCGACCCCGCCTAGCTCGTGGCCTCCTGCAGACAAGAGGCGCGCCGTTAGGACACTGCCCGAGAGGCTGCCGGCCTGCGCCGCTGCTCGCGCCGTGCTGCGCCACCAGCGGGGGAAGGCCAAACCCAGACGAGCCGAAAGCGTCGCCAGTCTCGATCGAGGGCGAGGCCATCCCGCTGCAGCTGTAGCCGCCGACTGCTCCGCCGCAGCCCATCCCGCTCGCACCCATCCCTCCGCCGCACCCGCCCACTCCCCCTCCGCCGCACCCGCCGCCGCCGCCGCACCCGCCGCCGCCGCACCCACCGCCGCCTCCGCCTCCGCCTCCGCCTCCGCCTCCGCCTCCGCCGCCGCCGCCGCGCGCGGCTTTCGGGCCGGCGCGGCCGTTGACGCTGCGAGCGGCAGTGGCGGTGGCGTACGGCGCCGAGCTCGAGTTTTGCCGCTTCCCGAGGCTGGGCGCGCGGACGGGGGGCGGCGTGATCGCGACCGAGCCCGAGGCGTCCTTTCGCTTCATCGCCTCCCACTCTCGGTAAAACACGCTCGCGTCGGCGAAGCCTCGCAGGAAGAGATGTGCCTAGAGCGGGTGGGCGGTGCGGGATGACGAGGCGCCGCCCACCGCCGAAACCCACCGCCGCGCAGAGAGGGGGGGGGGGGGGGGGGCGCCGCGCGGGTGACTGCTCCGCCACGATCCGTCACCGTCACCTCCGCCTCGAACCTGTTTTGGGGGGAAAGGGGGGGGGGGGGGGGAAAGGGGGGGCCGGGCTTTTTTAAAAGGGGAAAAAAGGGGGGCCCGGGGGTTTTTCCCCCCTTTAAGAAAAAAGGAAGGATTTCCCCATTATCCGGGCGCCCCTCTGTTTTGGGCCCTCGGTGCAGCGGACGGCGAGCTCCTCCGTGTAGCTGAGCGGCTCCTCCTTGGCCTTGCCGCTCCGCTGCCGCTTGATCGCCGGCGGCGCCGCCTGCATCACTTGCGAGGCGGAGAGGGGCGTCGCCGCCTCCGCCGCACGCCTCCTCGCCTGGTCTGCTGCCGTCTTGACGAAGAGCGCCTGCGTGGCGCCAGGGGTGGGCGTGTGGTGGGCGTGTGGTGGACTTGCCTCCGTCTCGAGAATGGAGCGCCTCCGGCCGCAGCGGTCCCCCCGCCATCTGCGGCGAGGAGGAGGAGGAGTGAGAAAAGAGGGAGGAGGGGGGGGGAGAGGGAAGGGGGCAGGGGATGGTTGGAGGCGTGGGCCGGGGCCGACGGCGCGTGCGTGTGCGCTCCGTTTCGACTTTGCGCGCGACGTGGTTGAGCGTCTGCGCGCGCTTGGAGTGCTCGCTCCTTCTCTCCAGGATGAGCCGGTTGAGCGTCTCGGTCGCCTGCGGCAGACTCTCGGCGACGCGGTGGTTCTGCTGCGCCTGGATGGCGCTCAGGCGAGAGAGGAGGGGGAAGCAGACGTTCGCGTTCATCCGCGAGCTCGCGCCGCCGCGGTCCTCCTCCGCTGTCGGCGAGGGTGACCCCGCCTGCCTCGGCCCAGGCGCACCTGAGGCAGGCGCACCTCTCCCGCCGCCGGTCGGACCGCTCGGCGTGGGCGACGGGGCAGAGGACTTGATGGGCCCGGTCGGAGCGATCGGCCCGAGGTCCCACCTCTCGTCGGCGAGTTTGATGCCCGGGGTGAGCCCCGGAACCGTCCCCCCCGGCGTCGCGGGCGAAGGCGCGCGGCCCGGAGGCTCCAGCTTCGGAGGCCGCTTCGGCGGCTTTGGCGTGCGGGGCTGTTGGGCGGGCGGGCGGTACGAGGCGGGGCCGAAGCGCGCGGCCGCGAGGCGCAGCGGCGCAAAGGAGCCGCCGCCGCTCTCCGCCGCCGCGTCTGCTGCCGGCGGCGCGGCCGCACCCGGCGATGGCGGCGCGGCGGAAGGGCCCGCGCGAGCTCGAGGCGCCGCTGCCGTCGGCGGGAAGCGGCACGGGTAGGCGTGCAGCTTGAGGCGGTCGAACTGGAGCGCGTTGGCGAGCCGGCCGATGACGCCGAGGGGCGCCGCGGCTGCGGGCCCCGCCTCGGCAGCACGCAGACACGGAGGCGGCGCCGTCGCGAGCAGCAGCGCCGCCTCGGTCTCGAGCAGCAGCTCGTCTGACCACGGCGCGCCCGCCGCCGCCGCGGATTCCGAGCGGAGCGCGAGCTCCTGGAGGAGGGTCTCGCGATCCGGCACGAGGCACGCCAGCGTCGTGCCGCTCTCCCCTCCCCCGGTGGCGCGTCTCGCCGCAGCCTCCGCCTCTGCCTCTGGCGACCGCCGGTCCGAAACTTCGACCGGCAGGCAGCCCTCGATGAAGCGCTTCTCGCAGAGAGCCCAGAGGGCGGGGTTCGAGCGCAGCTGCAGCAGCGGCAGTCGACCGGCCTCGACGCAGCGCAGGAAGCGGTTCGTCTCCGCGGAGTACGGCAGCGCGAGGTCGACATCCTCGATGAGCAGATGCGTCGGCAGCAGCGTCAGCCGCAGGCACTCTCCGCGGCGCGGCGCAGCGGCTGCGAGACGCCCATTAGTGCCGCCGCCGTTGGAGGGCGAGGCGAGCTTGCTCGTGGACGAGCTGGATTCGCGCAGCCGCGCTTCCAACCTCTGAAGCATTGCGCGCGCGGCTGCCTCCTCGCGGTCGGGTGTCTCATCGTCCTCCCAAGAATGCGACAGCGCGCCGTTCGCCGTGGCGATCGACGGCTGGCGCGGGCGGACGGCGTCTCGCTGTCGCTGGGCGAGCGTGCGCAGCTGGCGTCGCTTGAGGCCAAAGCGCAAAGGCTTCTGGTCCGACATGGGGCCAGGCAGGCTGGGAGAAGAATTCGCGCGTCGCGCGTTTACTCGAGTACTTGAGCACTTGAGCACTTGAAAGGGCCGATTCGTTTACTTGGTAAAGGCATTGGGGTCTAGATTCGGAGCGCTCGCCGAAAAGAGGAGTACGACAAAATAGCGCCCGTGATTGCCTGCACGCTGCCAGCACTGACGGACTCCATACCCGAAAGAAAGAGAGGGGAGCTTGCAGGAGAGGTGACGAGTGAACTACAGGTAGTGGGGAAGGCAGCCTCGATCGCCATACAGACATGGGTGCGAAACAACGACAAGACCAAGGCACGGGCAGAGGAGAGAGACGAATTTTACCCGTGGTGCACCTGTGTTAGTGCCAGTGCGCGCCAGTCCCGAGAGAGTGGCGAGCTCCCTCCAACCCACCCGCGCTAGGTCTCGGGTTTGACGCATGGGGTCACTCCCGCGAAACTCGGGAACTAGCCGGGGCAGTCGGAGAAGGGGCAACTCCGTGCACTGACGGTCGGCCGCCAGAAAACACGCCTGCGTGGATCGCGTCACACCAATCCTCGCTACCCAACGCGGCCAAAGGATATCCACCTCGAGAACCTCGAGAGAGAGAGTGTTACAGTTGTTGTCCCAGTCCCGTGCCCAGACCCAGTGTCGTGCGAGAGAAGAACATAGGATGGATAGGGCGCCTGTTCACGGCATGGAGGGTGAGCCACGATGAACGTTAATGAACGTAGAGCCGAACGAGAGGAAGCCGGGGAAGACGACTCCGAGGAGGACGAAACACCAGTGGTAATCCCGTCGTCAGCTGTCACGATGCACCCGAAGGGGACCCCAGCGCCGACACGCATCCGTGAAGGCACAAGTGTTCGAAGAGAGAGTGGACCTGAGCAACGACATGACTTGGAGGCAAATGATCGGAGTGGGAGTCAGAAATGTGGTCCTTGCGCGAGGGGAGCTCGATAAACTCCAGGGGCCAAATTATGCCGCGAGGAGGGCGGAGTTACGCAGAGAGGCGAGAGAAGCAGCGAGAGCAAGGCAGACGGCAGCGGCGTCTCAGAATGAGGCCGAGGAGAGCGATGAGTCAGAGGGTGAAACAGCAGGAGTACGAGAGAGAACGAGGACGAGAGTGGGAAGAACGAGAGGTGGCATGAAGGTCGCTGGACGCTGCGTTATCCATCGCGTCCGAGTTCTCCAGCTGATCGTTGGTTGTATTTGTTGATTGGTCCTTTAAATCTCCTGGGTTGGCGTGCCCCGAGAGCTGCGTCTGGAGCTCCCGAGGCACATCGCCACACGACCCCGGCGTCGGCGCTCAAACAGGCCCGAGGACAGGACACTCCCTGTCCACACATACAATCAGAGAACACTCGCGTGCAAGGGAAGAGGAGGGTGGGTCACGCGAGATTGCGCACGACTCGGACGATGGGGTTGAGCAAGCAGCCCGAGAAGCTGCGAGCCGACGGCGACGCGCTTTCGGCGTTTACGTGATATGCTTGCTGTTCCCCTCTCCTCACGTTGTTGGATAACCTACATAGCCGCTGCGCGGCTATCTCCGATTATCCATCGCGTCCGAGTTCTCCAGCTGATCGTTGGTTGTATTTGTTGATTGGTCCTTTAAATCTCCTGGGTTGGCGTGCCCCGAGAGCTGCGTCTGGAGCTCCCGAGGCACATCGCCACACGACCCCGGCGTCGGCGCTCAAACAGGCCCATCGCGCCGGCTGCCGGAGTGGAGTCCCAGGTTGTCTCATAAAGGCCCATCGACAAATTGGGGTCGCCGCCCGGTAGGAGGTGGCGGCCGTAGCTGCCCCGGGCGTGTAGTTGCTGCTCCAATCGCACATCGATCCCATCGCATGTGGCCCGAATGCTCAAATTGAACGTCTCGCAAGCTGTGGCAGGGCGATCCTCCCTTCGGTGGAAGGGAGATCTCTAGCCTCCTGACGAGGTTGCCCTCCGCCTGGCTGTTTGGCGACAGCGATTAACACCTCCGCAGTTGCGTCGGTCCGCGCCACAGGTAGAGACGTTGAGCTCGACAAATGTCGGAGCAGCAGGGGATGCGGTGCACCTTGGTACCCATGTCTGGTGTGGGGAGCCCGGTCGACCCTGCCCCCACCCCAAAACATGTTGCCTTCGCCTCGCGGCTCAGCGGTAACTGGGTGCACCTTGTTAGGTTCACGCCGGCCCAGCTCAGGTATGTCACGTTCACGCCGCCCCAGCTCTCGTCCAGTGCCAATTCCTGCAAGGGAACAGCCAGGACGGGCCCGCCACCGGCGGGCGGGCGGGGGGGGCGGGGCGAGGGCAGGGCGGGCTGACAGGGCGGGCGCCTGTACAGGCTCTGCTGCTCAGCTCCGCCACGCTTGTCATCTCGAGCTCTGTGATGCGTCAGAGGTCCATTACCTCCTCGCGCCCACCGCCCATGTAGGCTCGCTCGAGATGGCTCACAAGCCTCACAGGTGGCCACAAGGCCTCGATGGTGGCTGTCAAGCCTCGGCTTACCCAGACACGCCTCTAGCACCCTTTGGCGTACCGCTGGTCGCCACAGCGGTCGCCTCTTTGTGTTCGCCACGATGGGGTCGTCACACATTGTGGACGTCCGACTGTGTGGACGCCATGGCGCGGCCTTGGCCTCACGCCATGGACGCCACTGTGGGGCTCGCCTGGCGTTCTCGCCCGGTCGGCACCCTTGTGTCGGGACGCCACGTCGTGATCTCGCCCCTTGTGGTCGACACTGAGGTCGCCAACTGTGGACGCCAGCAGCTTACCTTTGGCTTGCTATTGGCATGCCTCTGGCTTGCCTCTGGAGGACTCGGTCATCCGTCCTCGGACAGCTCCAGCTGAGGCCCAATGCCTTGGCGGCGGCGGGTTGGGGAGCTGTCTCTCTGGGCGTCACGTTGCATACTGTCTTGCACGTGGCCCCAGTGGAGGTCTGCCCATGTGGGCCGGCCTCTTCCATGCCGCACCAGCACGGTTCCTGCGCTGCCTGCATTGCAATCGACATTGCGGCGGCATGCGGCGGCATTGTGACGGAACGTCTGGGTGCGGCGGAACGTCGGCTCGAAAGGCCCATCGCCGACGATATGATGCGCCTGCCCCACTGGCGTGGGATCAGGGCGAGATGTCATCACGCGAGATTGCGCACGACTCGGACGATGGGGTTGAGCAAGCAGCCCGAGAAGCTGCGAGCCGACGGCGACGCGCTTTCGGCGTTTACGTGATATGCTTGCTGTTCCCCTCTCCTCACGTTGTTGGATAACCTACATAGCCGCTGCGCGGCTATCTCCGAAGAATTGGTTGAGAAACTGCGAAGAGAGATAGGAAGTGGTAGACGCCCGAGGGTGGGCGCGACGGCTAGCACCACACTCCTCTCCTTAAAATCCCTGTGTGGTGGCGGCGTGCCGTCCTCCCATCCCTCCCTTGGGTATGAGTTTTATTTCTTTTGTGTGTGTGTGGCAACGCGCGAGGGACGGAATGGCCACTGGGGCCACTGCTATCCCTCCAAATTTTTATTTCTTTCTTTACGAAATGCAAATGAAAGGTGAGAAGAGCCACATACATGTACTACTGCGAATGAGCGGCGGGCGCGTGGTGGATCATCCCCACTCACCCTTGTGTTTCTGCATCAACTACACTCTACTCGCCACCACCTCGGGTCCAGAGGTCCCAGCGGGAAGCGAGCGAGCCAGTAGTCGCGCCCGTAGTCGACCAGGAGCTCCTCGCCCGGCTTCACCTCGCGGCTGGTGCAGAACATGGTCGCGCCGTGTTCCGGTGAGAGCCCACTGCGCGGAGGCACGTAGAAGGAAGCGGTATTCGCGCGCCTCCAGGAGTGATTGATGTAGCGAAGCCACGAAGAGCGCGATGCGTCCTCGGCGTCTGTAATGTGGCTCTCGCACAGCGCGATGGCGTAGTCGCCGCTCGTGTCGCCCGCCGCTCTGCGCTGCACAAACTCCTCCGTCGGGAGCAGGTCTCCCGTGTACCATCCCACAAGCTCTCCGCGGCGCAGCCGCCGCCGTGCGAAGGCACCGCTGCCACGCCAGGCCCCGACACGCTTGATCTCAACATCTCGCCCTGGCCGGAGCCCGCCAAGGCTAACCAGCGGCGAGTAGTCGAGGGCGGTCAGGCGCCGCACAGCGAAAACCGAGCGATCGAGGAGGCCATGCGCCACGAGGCTTCCAGAGCTCGTCATGCCGGCGAGCACGAGGGCGGCCATGGCCGACCTCTCTCGACGAGCTGCGGCGGAGGTGGTGTGCGTCCTCTGGGCCGGCCTGTCACCACACACCCAAATCGCAGCGTGCCGAGGCGAGCGCAAAAAGACCAGCCAGACACAGAGCTACACTGTACAGAGGCGAGAAAGAATTTAAACGAAAGAACTCTCTCTCACAGCACACAGGCTCGACACAGGTGCGAACTGGCGCGTGCTAGTACTATCACCGGCACACCACCGGAGCCGCCTAAGCGACTCCGTTAAGAACGGCAATGCACTTAGCACCGTGCACAATGCCGCTGTCCCCGCACGCTAGCTCGTTCACCGTCTGCCACGCCACGGCGGTGTGGAGGACGACAGACAAGCGCTGCATCTGCAGCCCGTGCCAGTTCTTGGTGGTCCATGTGACCTCATCGAGGTGCTGAGCGTGCGAAAGTTTGTTACTCAGCTGGTCCGCCGCCTGCCGAAGAATTTTGCGGACGCCGTCCCCGAAGCCGCCGAACGTCTCGAAGTCGAGCAAACGCAGGTCGCAATTCTTCTCCCGCGCGAACCGGTAGTCGCCCTTCTCGAGGCGAGAAAGAATCTTACAAGAAAACTCCCTCGCACAACACTGGGCACGAAAGAAGTGGGCGTGCGCTGAGCCAGGACCCAGGACCAACTGCGAGCCTGTCGCTGTCCCTTGTCAGGAGCAGGAGAACTAAGGACACCGCTGGCGCTGCTAAGGACACACTGTCCGCGCGACCCCTACGCGACGTGACTCAGCAGGTGCGAGCACTCGGTCCCCATGGGGACGGGGGGGGGGGGCTCTAGCCTGCACTTGTACTTGTACTTGTGAGATATAGGCGCTGCCACCTCTCCGGCTAGTGACGGTCAAGGAGAACGCGCAGGCCCCACTGAGCGCGAGGCGCGGCGTTGACGCCTCCAACCTACCATACCTCCATCGCAACCCGGCGGTGTGAGCGCTCACGGCAAGTCCGTCTTCGGCTTCGCCCAGCCTGACCCTCGTCTCGCCCACCCCACGGGGACCCCTGCGCTATGAGAGCCGCATATCTGCTCCCACCTTTTCCAGATTCCAGTCAGTCTCCCCTCTATACAGCCTCTCAAAGCTGTACCTCTAGAACCTTCCTGATCCTGTGTTGCTCTAGCTCTACTCTCTAGGAGCCGTATCTCTCTGAGTACTGTGAATCTGACGTAAAGACTCTCCCGCGGGAGCGAGCCGAGGTGCATGTGGTCTCTCTCTCTCAGGTGTGACTGTGTATAATAGACATGCAAACGAAGAAAAGCGGGCACCCTCACGTAGAGCAACTGTGCGCGATAGACAAATAGTGAGCGCCCCCGCGGCCTGAGCCCGGTAAGCGCGATAGCCGATAGACGTAGTCAGGGCGGAGGTCAAACTCTCCAGACTGCATGGGACGATGGGAGATGCTCTGTGCATAGTCACAGTCAGTACGTATGGTATCATCTCAGCTCGTCTCGCTACGCAAGTCCCTTCTCCTTGGACGGCGGCGGCGCCGTCGCCGGTGACTCCGCGAGCGCCTCGCCCGGCGCCGGCAATCGGTGCGGCTGGATGTAAAGGGACTGCTCCCCACCGGACGGCGGTCGGGAGGCCTTGGCGCTGTGCTCCCTCTTGATGCTGCGCTCCTGCCGTCGCTCGAGCGCCAATTCGCGTTCGGTCGAGACGCGGGCCTCGGCCGAGCCGCGGGGCTCGGACGACGTCGACGCGACCGTCGCCCGCGGGACGACCGCCTCGGGGTACCCCTCCTCCCCCCGCCACACCCAGGCGCTGAACGCCGCCTCTGTGGCCTCCATCTGCTCCGTGTAGCCGAGGTCGGCGAGGCCGGGCGGGAGGGGCGCCACGACGACGCGCGCCTCCGTCTCCTCCCGCGGCGCCGACGAGTCCGCCTCCGCCTGCCCGCCGCCGCCGCCTTCGCAGCCCGGCCCGAGCAGCGCTGCGTGCACCGCCTTGGTCGCGTACACCTGCGCGCGCAGCGCGAGGAGCTGCACGGGCTCCTTGAGGCCCATCCCGCCCAGGGAGAACAGCTCCGCGTCGCTCGCCGCTCGCTCGAAGGCGGACGGCTCCCCGACCAGCGTGAGGAGCACCGACCCCCTCCGGATCTCCTTGAGCTCGATCTCTGCGTGCGTCGCGCCGTACCGGCCGCGCAGCTCGTCCGCGAGCGCCTCGCCGTTGGCGCGCGTGATCTCGAAGCCGTCCCGCTCGAAGAGGACGATGCGCCACACCGCCGTCAGCCGGTCGATCTCGAGGTCAGAGTCGCGGAAGGAGGAGAGGCCGCACTTGCGCCGCAGGTAGCCTCGCAGGTGCATCTTTGCGCGCGCGAGGCTGTCGGAGTCCTCGTCGGGCGAGGCGAGGGCGGGGAGCTCGAGGGAGAGGCAGAAGGGGAAGCGGGTGCTGTCGTACAGCTCGGGCACCTATCGCCGCAATCATGACACGCTCAGCTACATCTCGGCTATAGCTCGGCTACAGCACGGCTACAGCTCAGGGCACCCCGGCGGCGACCAGCCGGATCCCACTGCTCACCACTTCGCAACTCTCCCCGCCCTCGGACTCGTCCGGGTCACGCAGCGTGAACTTTTGCGAGCGGGCGGGCCCGCCGTCGCGCGCCACGACCGGCTTGGTGTCGGCCGTCACGGCGAAGCGGCCGGCCTCGAAGGCGTCGCGGTCGGAGCGGCCGAGCAGAAGCGAGAGCCAGACCGCCTCCCCGAATATGCGCGCCGCCTCGTCCTCGACGCGGCTCCGCCAGCAAAAGATGCGCGCGCCGCCGCGCGCGTGCAGCAGCTTTGCGAGCGAGGCGGAGTAGCACGCGTTGAGGACGGCGCGCTCGAGGCAGGCCGGCGCGGCGAGCACGACTGGCTCGAAGGTGACAACCTCGGGCCGCGCGCCGCGCACGAAAGTGGCGCAGCCCTTGCGCATGTGGCTGGCCATGTGCAGGTGCCTCGCGCCGCGCAGGACTGCGGACAGGTCGCCCGCCGCCGGGTTCTCGTGCACTGAGACGGGGCCAGGGAGCAGCTCCTGGAGCGAGTCCACCTCGGCCCTCGCCTCGGGCAGGCTCGCGCCGGCGGTCACCGAGATGATGACCGTCGGCCCAGAGTTTTGGTTTGCGCTCTCTGCAGCAAAGGGGCCCGGAGAGGGGCGCTCGGAAAAGGAGGTGGCGAGGCTGGCGGAGAGGCTCGAGTCAGAGCCGGAGAGGTCGGTCGAGGTGGACGAGTCGCCAGAGGCCTTGCGAGATACGCCCCCCACGGCGGAAGTCTCTGGCAGATCCCTCTCGTGAAGCTGCCGAACAAGTCGCTCGAGGTCGCTGTATGCCGCCCCGCTGATCACCGGGGGCGCATTCCAGTCGGCCGGTTTCTTTTTGATGGCGACGCACGCGCTCCGCTTGGCGCTGCCGCTGGTCGAGCGGCTCGAAACGGTGGCCGAGGCGCTCAACTCTGAGCTGGTCCGGGCCATGCCAGGACGCTCTTCCTTCGCCTTGACCTGCCCAGCCCAGAGCGATGGCATCGAGAGGTTCTTCCAAAGAGGCATGGCAAAAGGCCCGGGCACAGACACAGATTGGGTGTTCCTGACATGCAAGGGCGTGCCTGGTCTGCTCGGATTTGCTGTCTTTTTTTTGTGCAGGCCAAGGCTGTTCTACCAGCCCGATGAAGGACAAACAAGGTGTAACAACCTAGCCGGAGGTGGCGCCATCGCCGGCGCCGCCGCCGGTGTTCAAGACGCTCAGGGAGAAGAAGGCGGCTCAGGCGTCAGCGGAGGGCTGGGCGGCGGAGGTGGCGAGGGCCGAGGAGCTCTACGAGGAGCTGCGCGAGCGCGCGCCCCAGCACTGCCGCCGTGGCGGCAAGTGGGCGCGCGAGAAGTTCGTGATGGCGGTGCAGGGAGAGTTCCCACGCGCGCGAGGGGCAGGCGTTCCCAAGGGGACGATCCTGTGCCTCGGCAGGGTGCTCGACGCGCACGATGAGCAGGATGACGCGGAGGGTGGGCACCGGGACTGGGAGGAGGACCCGCTCGGGTTCGACACCAACCCGATGCTGCTCCGCGCCATGTGCATGGCGTTCGAGTGAACGCCGTGCAGGCAGCCCGTGCCTCTTGGTGTACCCCGTTTGTACCGCGTCCTGTGCCCCCGAGTTCATTTAATATATATGTAACAACCTAGCATCCTTTCAGCTCTCTTTGATCGAAGCAAGAAACATGACCCAAAAAAGAAAACGTGCCAACACCACACATACATGGCTCTCATCATCAGAGCGCTGTCCTTCGCCGCCTGCTGCGTCGCCGTCGCGGGCTTTCGCGTGCCGGCGGCGGTGGCGCCGGCCGCGCCGAGTCGCACCGCCTCGACCCGCGCCGTCGTGCTCAGCGAGGCTGAGTGCGCGATGATAGACCTCTCGACTGATGACCCTGTTCGGGTGGCTCAGATCATCAAGGGTGCACGCTCACACCGCTGCCGCCCACGCCGCTGCCGCCCACTCGCGCCACCATCCTACCCATCCCTCACGCCACCGCCGCCGCGCACCGACCTGCTCACGCCACCGGCGCTGCGCACCACCATCACCACCAGGCGCGTGGATGGAGGGCGGCGTCAAGCGCGGCCTGACGGGGAGCGTGCTGGTCCCCGCCGAGAACACGGTCACGATCGTAGCCAAGGGGCCTCGCAAGCGGCTCGACTCGTTCGCCGACTGGCTCGAGACGACCTCGCAGCTGGTGTCGAAGGTGTCCATCGGCGAGGCGTGCGCTCCGGAGGACGTCGAGCTGACGAGCAAGTTCGAGATCGCGGCGGTCGACCCCGCGCTGAGCACGCCGTGGCGCGAGTATCTCACCCAGGCCCGCCCGCGTCTCTCCACACCCACCCGTGCCGCGGCGGAAAAGATGCGTGGCCGCCACTCTGCTCTCAGGCGACCATCGACGTGAAGAGTGCGGCGGGCAAGACGCACTCGAGCGACGAGGGCCTCGCGTGACGCGTCCTGCGTCGTCCTGCGCCGCGACCTGCGATTTTTGCACACACCATTGACTCATTTGTTTTGCCCTTGCATGCCGGTGAACACATATTCGATATTGATATGCACATGCACAGTGTTTGCGCTGCATCGTGCATGCAGTCTCATGGTGCCCTGCGCCTGCCGTGTGCTCCGCGGCTTTGAATAACGACACAATACATTGCGTGGCGCGGCGTGATGGGGTTGGGGCATCCATGGCGACACTAAAGCACGCTAAACCTAAAGGTCAAAGACTGAGGAGAGACACACACCGCGGCACCATACATGACCGCGACATAAAAAACGGATTCGGCGATTGGGGCCGAGCGTTTTTGATCTCTCGGTCTGTGGGGGGCCGAGCCGCCTCGGGGTGGCGGGCGGGCGGGCGTTTTGAAAAACAGAAAACAGAAAACAAGGGGGGGGCCGGGGCCCCAGGCCCCCCACTGGGACTCTGGGAGTAGAAAAATACGCCCAAGGGGGCCACAAGGAGGCGGCGCGGGGAAGCAGCATCAGGTGAGAGCAGGAAGGATGGCGTTTAGGGTCGGCTTTGAACAAGGGTTTCCAGGTTTTAGATCAGTATTGGTGTCGGCACACATCCCCACATGAGGTCAGCGGCGCGCAGTGCCTCTCTCGCAGCTAGGCTGATTTTGGCTGTTTTCGAGCTTTGTTTTTGTTTTCAGACTAGGGGGCCCGACCCCCTCAGAGGCGGCGGGCGGGCGCCCACAGACCGAGGGATCAAAAACGCTCGGCCCGGTTTACCGTTTCCTACGGAGGGTGTGGTCTCGGGGCTAAGTGCACCGCGGCCGTCCGGCTGTTGGTGTTGCTGCGGGGGCTAAGCGGCCGGGGGCGGCGCGGTGTCTAGGGCCGCATCAGCACGTGAAGTTCAGGGCGGAGGGTTCGAAGCTCGGGGAGATGCCGGCACTCCCGGCGCGCTGGCGCCATTGCGCATTGGCTGCGCGAGTGGCTCGGTGAGGTTCTTGCGGTGCGCACCGACCTGGTGAGTCGGCGGACGCACAGGAGCGGCCCAGCGGTGCGGAGCCGCCCGTACGACGGCTTCGCTCTAGCCGCTGCGGGACACGCCAAGCTCTGTCAGCTCGAGCAGCTGGGAGGTGCCGGGGCGGGGCCCGTCTGGATCAGCGTGCCACGCTGTCTGACGGGTTCACTCCAAGGGCGGCGCGACGGCTCGGTGCTAGCCGACTGCGTCGGCGGTGAGGACGAGATTGAGGGCGGGAGCCGGAGTGAGGAAGACGAGACGGGGCTACCGCATGCCGGGACCGAACTGATAGCTCGCCCCGTTGGGCGGAAGACTAGGTCTAGGCCTCTGGGAGGGAGACCGAGCGAGCACACATGAGGTGTAACCGTGTACGTGTGTGCAGGAGTATGGCGTTGTGTGTCCGTGTTAGCTCCGAGTAGAGGGGGCGTTCTGCAGTTAAGGGGAAACCCGGTACACGGAGCCCTCTCGGAGACCCGTGTTTACTTTGCGGCCCTTTCCCTGCGAACGCGCACCCCCCAGGGCTAGGGCTCTCTTGCCCGCAACCCGATCCCGATCATCTGGCCCGCTGGGTGTGCTTCTAGCCCCCTGGCCCTGGATGTAGGGGCTAATGACTGCACTCCAAGTGCTCTCCAAGGTTTTAGAATCCACAGTACGGTTGGATGCTTTGTGATGTTCTGATGTGTGTGTCAACTCAGTCAGTGGAGTGCTGATGAGGTAGGTGGCGTGTGTCACCGTATGGAGTGTGGTGAGCGTGTGGTTGGTGCGCGTAGCAGAGAAACGCCATAAATAAATATAATAAAACGGTCAAACTCTGCTCTGAGTCTCACGAGATGGGATTTAGGGACATGTGTCCCCGCCCTGCACGATCTTGGTGTGAGGGATCTTCAATCCGTGTCCCCTCACCCCTCGTCACAACCCGACACGAAAGAGCGGCAAGAGTTGGGGCTGCGGCTCTACGGCTGCGGCTACGAGAGGGGCCGCGGGGACCGGGGTCGCGGGAGAGCCGCTGCGCCGCGTGGACGCGCCTACACCGCTCTTGCTCCGCTCGCCACCTATCTCGCAAAGGTCCAAAGCCATATCCACCACCTCTCCTGCACCTCCCCTCCGGCTCGTGTCCTCCGGCAAGTCCTTTCGCCGTATCTCTCGCGCCATCCCCGCCACCGAAGTCCGAAGCACGCGGTGTATTCTTCTTATTTTGGCAGCCACTCCCAGCGCAGCACCCAGGGGCACTCTGGCCCACAGTGACGCAAGGATCCATGTCACGTGGAGGGGCGCAGAATTATTTTATTATCGGAGGAAATCTCGCACGACTTCGAGCACATCGAGATTCGCGAGACGCAGCGGGTCGGCGCTCGCGCCGCTCGCCGCCTCCACGTCGTCGCCTGTAGAGATAGAGGGTCTTCTGGGAGGGTGCGTGGGAGGTCCCTTTCCTCTGTTTCGCGCGCCATCGCGGTCCGAATCGAGTTGCGTGCCGCCAGACTGCAATCGCGTCTGGTCGGAGCTCTCCCGCTCCTCCGCCGCCCCGCTGCTCGAAGGCAAATGGAACGGTGTCTGCTGCTGCGACTCCGCTCGCGCGGGCGGCATGATCGACCCGCTCGCGCCCTGGGAGGCCGCCGCAGCGTCTGGGTGCGACGGGTTCGCTCCCGCGCTGCTTCCAGAGCGGCCGGCAGCCGCGTGCTCGTTCGGCTGCCACTGCGTTACAGCCTCGTCGCCTGCCGCAGGGGAGCCACCGCCCCCAGAATCGTAGCTCTCCTGCCGCGGGCAGGGAGGGGCGGCTCGGGCAGGAGCGGGCGTGTGCGTGTGTGTGGGGGGGGAGGGGGGGTTGGTGAGGGTTTGTGAGGGGGGAAGCCCCCTCCCTTCGCGCTCCTGCGAGGGGTGGCTCCCCTCCCCTGCCATGTGGCTCCCCTCCCCCGCCGCCGCCGAGCCTACAGCGATGCGACTCGGACCCGTCGCTCTGCCGCGAAGCTAGCCCCTCTCCCCCTCCGCCTCCCCTCGCCAAGCCGCGTCTGCGTCCCGAGAGGCGGCTGCGTCTCGCCCCACTGAGAGAAGCCGCCCAGCGTGCCGACGCCCCAAAGCACGGACTGCGAGAACGGCGCCTGCGTCGCCGCGCCG